GTGCTTATTGTCTACTGTGTGTCAGAGCACGTCAACAATACACACAAAAACCTTCTGTAACACCTAATGATGTTGATATTTTTAGAAAAAAAATCTCTGCAATATCACATACAGAAAGGAGAACATGATGAGAAAGGTACATTACAGTTTTGAAAGCACTGATACATACAAATCATTGTGAAAGTCACCAATATCCTTCTGTATTTTCACAAAATGATCTAGAGCTTCTTAGAATCCAGCAGTTTTGGAAAAGAGTCATAAAAGATGAAAATTCTATCTCTTGAATTCATTAAATGGGGTCTGCCTCATAAATGAGGAATTTTATTGTGAGGCATAGGTAGGCAAAAAATAGAAGAACCTGAAGCATCACGATAATGTTGATTTGTTATATGTGTATCTGTGTAACATCAGGTGAAAATCAGTGATGCACAAGTTAATCCCTTAGAAAAGGTTCCAGAGTTATGAAGGAGAAGAATTATGTAAATTTTAAAATGAAGTTTTAAGGGCAGATTATGTCTTTTCCCTCGAAGCAAGTAAGGGGTAATTCCCTTGTAATTACATGAGGATGAATTAATTACTTTCTAATAAACTCAAATAAAAACTTGACTGCATAATACCACCTTCCCTTTTCTTAATTAAAAATGTCCAGGAGTATTTTCCTAATATGCATATTTCTTCCTCTTGTGAATTATTGATATATTTATGCTTTTTTACAATACGATGCAATTGGGGTTACAGAACCTCTGTTCAATGATGCATCACGTATGGGCTACCCTGTATGAAGTTGTGCATCAACACCACACCTGGATAAATCTGGAAGTGCCCCATCTTACTACAAAAGCCAGTCAAAAGCTTTCTGCTAATTTGGGGTAGGGAATAGGTGCATTATGTATTTTCCTGATGGTGAACACATGGTTTCAACATGAAATCGATTGTGCTGAGCAAGGTGTTGCTTTGACTACATGGATTGGCCAGGTAGCTGACTGAGGGCAGGTGAGACAGTTTCCACAAAGAGACTCATAAATCTCCAACCTAGCTTGGAGCTTCCAGCCTTTGTCCATACATTAAGTCCTTTGCTGCCACGTACTTATGAAACACATACTTCTTAAGAAAATGTGGTTAAATATATTATAAGCATCTATGGAACAGGAGAATTAAGTATCAGTAACATGCTTATGTATTTGTTCTTTTACTGCAAAGTAGCACTTTTACATACACAGAATATAGAGTCTCTGAATAAGTTTCATCTCCGCAATTTCTCTTGCATTGATTGTAATTATGCATATTTGTAATGTATGTACATGGGAGACTATAAATATATGTTATTTATTTGAATAGCGTGTTGGCAATAGTTTCAGGTATGCATGCATGATTAGTGAAAATAATGGTAGTTTTGTGGAAGTACACTGTACTGTGTATGCTGTTACCATTAATACTTGCTTCATTGATTATCATCTGTATTGTAATGCAGAATAGCAAAAGAATTAATAATTATTAGAAACTGCAGTTTTCTGAGGGCTCATTTTGAATGATGGTCATTTTTAGGAACAGACCTGTGGTGAGGCTATATGGGAGACTTTAGTTGGGTATTAATATAAGGCATCTGCATCACCATTAAAGCCAGGAGAGGATCCAAAACCTCTCCTGTTGCCATAAATTCAGGCACAAATTGTGTTGCATCTGCTACTTTAAGGGACGGAGATGTGTGAATTCATAGTCTCACAGGCAACAAAGTGATGAAGGAAGATTTCACTTCCTTTGAAGTCTGATTAACTGAATCTCACATAAAGGAAGTGAGTTTGACTTTCTCTGAACCTGATCAGGTTTTCCGGTAAACATGCTTTTCTATTTGTTTTGGGATGCTGTCTGGTAGTGGGACATAGGAACGACCTATAGATGTCTCCATTTTTAAATAGCAATTCTTGCTACATTTCTCAGTACTGTTCTGAAAAATAAGAGCTTGGCCTTCAAGCACAGGCTCAACAAATAAAGCTGCAGGTGTGGAAAGCAGTTTCACATTTACAACATTTGTGAGGCTTTTTCAGCAGAAACTGATATTCATTTATCGTATTCATTATGCCTCTCTATCATTCACCTAGACCCTATATAATTATGTGTTTAATGATCTTTAACCTTCACATGAACACAGCTTGCTGAAGCTTGACAATTGCTGTAAATTATCATTCACATCTGCTAGAAAAGAGGAAATACTCCTTGGAAAAACTGCACTTTCTGGCTTAGAATTTCTGCTCAGGTCTGTAATTTAACTTTGTAAGTAGATGATGATTTAATCCTAAATCCAAACAATGAAATTATTTTGAAAAAATGGCTCTTTCATAGGTCATTTATTACAATATTTTGATAGTACAGTGTAAGAGTTTCAAAACCTAGAAAGATATTTTAATTGGTCAGCCTGAATGCTCACCATAGAAGGCACATGTGATTCTAGTAAATGCCATATTCTGGTTTGGGTGTTTTGTTTGGAGGGGTTTTTTTGTTATTTTTTTAATTTTTATTTTTAATAAAAAATGAAAAAACATTTACTCTTTTTTTCCTTTTTTAAAAATTTCCCACTACTAATTTTTGGGTTAAAAAATTGATCTGCTAATCATACTCAATTTCAACTTTAAGATTATAAAATGCTTCTAATTCTTCTACTTTCGTTGAATGTTTAGTCCTTCATTTTACAGTGTTTCAAATAGCAATATTTGTTTCTTTTGATGCAAAGGACTTTAATTTATTAGAGAAAACAATTAATTGTAATTATAGAGGTTTTTTTCATTGTTATATATTATTATATAATATAGAGTTTTTCGGGTGAACCAAGATGTTCCAAATTCCTTTGCTGAGTTGTGTGTGCCTAGACAGTGTTATTATATTATACCACTCTAATTCAGCTGTGAATACTGACAAAATCTTCATAGTCAGTGTTAATAATTATGGATTTCATTTAGGGGTCAAATAGACATATAAAATACAAACAGGTTCTAGATTGATCTTGGCAGGCTCTGGGACCCTGAAAATATTTTTTTGTGCTCCTAATACCTACCTTGAGTATAATCCTATTCATAAGGACAATAACCTTTAAGGCAAAAAAAAATCTGTGGTAACGTATTAAAATGTCTTATCGATTGGAGAAAGCTGCAGTGCCAACCAACTGGAGAGAGCTGTTAACTTTAATTAACATAACATAAATTACGCTGATTGTTCTCAAGTAAAAGCTGATGGAAACTACTAAAAGAAAAACAGAGGTTTTGAAAAAGAGCTCTGCAGTCACTTTGTTTACATGTATGTTCGTGTAGGTTGTGTAGGGAGAGTGAACTGCATTGAGTCATTCATATTCACAGACAGTTGAAGTGCTTTTAAAAAGTTGTTAAAACAGTGGTGTGGCAGTAGCTGGTGTGGTAATAATGTGTTGCCCAGCAAAACACAGGGGATGAAGTTACATCTCTTGTACTCAGTGGGAGTTCTGCTGTTACTGCAGAGGAGAGAATACAATGGCGGCCCAAGTTTTGTATGTATAATAAACCAGATGAAATGGAAAATCAGACCTGACTGCTGTTGTCTGCTGCGCTCATTGCAACAATTCAAGATTCCTTTTTTGTAAGGTGCTGTTACTGAGTTTTCTAAGCTTTTATTCCTAACAGCTAATTTGAAGATATAACTGTGTGTGACCAATTATCTTCTGAAGAACCTGCAGAGCCTACTTGTGGCATGACATGAAAATCTACTTGTGGCTCGGCTGTAGCCAGTGCTACAAGACTTTTTTTCCACACCTATTTTAATATCCTAATGGAGGCTCTTATATCAAATGACAGTGTTGTCCAGCCGTAGAAACCACTATCAAGTGAAGAGCAAAATGCATAACCAGCAACAATTTTTGTTGAGCTGTCTGCACAATAATGAACAAACAGGAGTAAGTAGTAATAGTAGTTGCTGTAAATCGTGTTGCAGCTTACTTAAGCAGGTTGATTGTATTTCCTTCAGCCTTTCATAAGGCAGAAATAAATAATAATAAATGCAAATTAATTTTTTAGTGATGTATTATTCACTTCTTACTGTTCACATTGAGTGTGTTTGAGGTAATAGTAAATAGAATTTAAAGCATTATTACTGTATATTTGTTGTCCAGTGGTTTTGAAAGTGTTGACACTAATACATATGGTCCAGCAACTGGTGTTCTTGTTGTTGCAAATGAGAAGTTTTTTGATATAAACAGATATTTAGTACTTGGCTCTGAGCCGGTAGTAGTCCTTTGTTTCCAGTGTTCTTCAGGCTCTTAAGTAGCAAAAAAAAATCAGAGAAGAAATACCTACTTTTCCCTTCCTGTTTCAGATTATTATAATCTTATCTTGTTTTTCTGAAAAATCAAGTTCAATCTAAGTATGTTTTTTTTCTAATGAGGTATTGAGGAGAAAGGGAAGATATGTCTAAGGATTCTTAGGTTTCTGGAAACTTGCTTTAGCAATACTCTCTTTAAGGGGAAATACTTTCATAGTAATGATCTTAGAACCTTTTAAGTTCTGCTAACAGCTGAGTTCTGAATTTCTGTGAATGCTGTCTGTTATGGCATTTGCATATCTGCCAGTGTTCAGCCATTTTCAATCACCTGAAAATAAGCTGAAAGAAATAACTAAAAATAAGAAACTAGATCAAAATATGTATTATTGTTAATCCTTCATTCACCCTTTAACAGGTTAAGGCCATTTTGTGCTTGTTCATTTTGGCTGATAATAGTTTTGAAGACATTTACATTTTAGAACAGGGATTTAAAATATATATAACAGCTGCTTTTTAAATAGAAAGTCTAATTATGCCTATGATTACATTCACTTTTGATTAGTATGCATACAAATTCCCACTCTCCTTGTGTATTCAAGCTGCGATCTGGATCACTTGTGCTAAGGTAAAAGTACAAAAGAATAGATTCAGAAAACATATTTCTGAAAATATTTCAGGGTATATTTTTTGTCTCTAAAATGCTTTGTTTTCCCTTTTAGTTACATACAGACCTGGATCCCGGAAGCAGCAAAATCAAGTATATTCTGTCAGGAGATGGAGCTGGAACAATCTTTGTAATCAATGACAAAACTGGAGACATTCATGCAATGAAAAGACTTGACCGTGAGGAAAAAGCTGAATACACTCTAACAGCTCAAGCAGTCGACAGGGACACAAACCAACCTCTGGAACCTCCCTCAGAATTCATTATTAAGGTTCAAGATATCAATGACAATGCCCCAGAGTTTGTTGATGGTCCATATCATGCCACAGTTCCAGAAATGTCTGTTGTAGGTATGTATGTCTAAACGTTGACTAACTTTGTTTACTCACAGTTTAAACTATGCCAGAATGCCATTGAGTTGTTGATGAATAGCATATTTATTATGTTGTTAACATTAATATGCATATTTTCAAATCTCTTCATGGACAAAGCCTTCATCTGGAGCACAATAGTAGAGTCCCTTAGTAGTAAGAAAATGACTAACAGATGTATTAATGTGTCTTTCTTTCTCCAACAACACTTCAATGGGCTAAATTTATATTCCTTGTATGATGTTGTATTGTTATTGAGAAGAATTTATCAAGATTTGCTCCAACATGACACTCTAATCCTACTGATATTTTGTTGATGTTTAATTATGTGTTTGTGTATTTTCATACGCTGTTGTAGCACTTGCTGTATGTTGATACTTTTTTCCTCTAAGTGCAACTGTAATCAGCCAAAAACATTGACATGAAAGATTCTGTGTCTGGGAATTGATGGTTAGACTCCAGAGTGGACTTAACCAATTAGCAGTAAGATTTGCATAGAAGATGGAAGCAGAAAACAGAGAAAGTGGTGGGAAAAGAGGGCGAAAAAGGAAATTAAGTGGGTGAAAGCAGAGAAAAAGAAAGGAGTAGGAAATAATCTTCTTAATACATTTTACTTATACTTAATCATTTTGCTGGATTAGTGTGAATCTATTTCCTTATGGATTAATATAGTAGATATTTTTTTCCTACATAGTTTGTCCCTTGTTCTGAAATAGCAGATGTATAAGTTTGTACTTAGAGAGGTACACATTTATGTACTGAGGTCCTCAGTCCCTACTGACACATGTCGAGTTCAGGTGTTATTTAGCTGTCCCTAAAGCAAAGGGGAAGTAAACCCATCAAACCAAAAGACTCAATTTCAGGATAATATAAGAATTCAATATAATCAAAGGCAATGAAATCTGGCCATGAAATGCAGAGTAAATGCTAATGTTTTCTAGTACTAGGTTAAGGATAATGTGCTTTTCAGCAAGTTGTCTGTGTCTGTCAAAGCAAGATAATTGAAGGAGTGCCAGGGCACTTTGTAAAATAAAGCAGCAGCCTGTTAAAAAGTTTCAAAACCACCATTCTGTCTTTTTAGTTAAAAACAGGAGGAATGGGAGGATCCAGAACCATTGTCTCTCTCACATTCAGCAGAGTGAGTTGTACCAAGTCAATTTTAAAATGTAGGCACAGCGTGCTGGCTACACAGTGATAACCAAGGCTTCAATTTTTATCATCACTTCTCCAAGAGATTTTTGTATCTTGGTTGCATTGAATTGCTTGTGTCGAAACTGATATATGAATTTTCCAGCCTGCATGTCAGTTCTTTTACCGAAACATAGGCTTAATTTGTGAAGTTACTTCTAATTATACAGCAGCAAAAGCATAATATAGACCTGCTTTAAGAAGATATTTCTGCCAAGTTCTAGGCAAGAATATGGCTTAATTAAATGAAATAAATAAATTAAAAAAATAGAATAGAAGGAGGAAGAAAAATTGAAGGCTGTTAATCCTTCTATGAATGGGACTTGTTTGGTATTCTAGGAAAAAAGAAAATTAAGATACTTGCAGACAAGAAAAGATGGTTTCTGATCACAGATGCTATTGCAAAAATAATTTATATCTGTACATGTGAACAATATTTATAATCCCTAGTAGAAACATTGCCCCTATCCAAGGAGGATTCACTATAAAGAAGATGAGGAAGAAAACCCAAAAACTTTGACAGGAAACTAGACCAGATAAATAAATATCTACTGAATGGGTGAGATTTGAAAGTTCTCATAAGATCTTTTAATGAGAGCAGGAGAATAAAAGGTAGAACATTAATGAAAGCAGGAAAGTGAAACAATTGAGAAAAGTGTTAGGGTGAAAGAGGGGTAAAAATATAAAGGAAAATCATGAGAGATTAATTAAAATGTAAAACTTTATCTGGGAAGACTTTACAGTAGAAGATTGTAGAAGAAGTGACCAACATCTGGACATATATATCAGCTTAGGGAATAGTGAAAGGGGCTGGCTTTCAGATGATACTCTTTCACCTGCTTTCCCTAGCGTGAGGGAGAGGGGTGAAGTGAAATAGTTGTTCACTGAACTGCCTCTGAAATAATGTATTTCCGCATTTTTGTGTATTCCTAAATTGCAGGGTAGAGTTTGGTCCAAAATGGTTTATTCTGACAACACAAATATAGGTAAAAATTTCTTACGGATTACCACGGAGGTCTACCATTTATTGCCTTTATTTCTGAAACTATGCAAGTTTTACACATTTATCCTTTATGATCCCTGAACATTGCATGTTTGGGTTTTTTTAAGTGACATTCTTAGGGGTTCATATTTTCAAGCTATTTCTCTAAAGAAACACAAGCATACACTCCTATTGTTGGAAAACAAAGCCTAATCCTCATCTGCCGCTTCAAAATTTAGAGTATGTTTGCCATTGCATAACTCAGGTCATGAATGAGCATCATAGACAGTCCAATCTGTAGCTTAATCCTTGAGGGAACCAGATTTCAAGGCTGGAAGGTTGAAGATGAGAATGTAACACCTTCACTAATGTTGCTGTTGCTATTTCCTTCTGCCTTCCTTTCTTAACCCACAGGTAGCACCATCGAGAGCTGTACTAAATGGTTGTCCATAGAGTATTTTAACTTTCTTGAAATTTTGCTAAAATGACTTTCAACGTCTCTACAGTGTTTATGAGAAAACTGTTTCCTTTCAGAGTTCAAGGACTTCTTTTTTTTTTTTTTTGCCACACTGAATACTTCACTTCTATTATCCACTTACTTAATTCCCCTTAAAGAGAGCTCCACCCACCGCTAATTTCAGCCTTGATGTTTCTACAACACAGTCATTAGTAGGCAGTGTTGTTATCCAGGATAAAGCAAAATTCTGTTAAACCCCTTTCCTTAAAATGCAATTCTGACTCCTGAAACAGAAGAGGAACTCACATGCTCTATATATAGTACTTATGTAATGAGGATGCAGTACAAGGCATTTTATTTTTGGACCTCTGTGGAAAGCAATGCATAAAATACAGATGAGCACATTAGCCTTTCATTGCTGTGTAACGTAATGTTGAGTTTCTAGTACAATGCAGTTTTTCTACTAGGTGAAAGAAATACTGGTCTTCTGTTCCTTGGTAGAAGGGATGTATTATATGAACGTCAGTGGTATTTTTGCGTATCTATAACATGAATGCTACACTATGGGAGATGTGAAAACTGAATGTACTTAAGCCTCTGTATGTGGTATGTATGAATGAGTGTGTGTGTGCCAGTTATGAAATCATCACACATATAAGCCCACAGTTGAGCCTGTTTATGTTATGTATCAGTGATATCTGGAAAATCCTAATTCCCTAATAAAACAAAAAGAAAGAGATTAGCATGACTTTCCTCCCACTGCTTGGTGCAAAGGCGATTAGTATTGCACTGTGTTATCTCCTGTAGAAATGATGCTCACTTTTCAGCTGTCTTTACCGCACACACACCCACACGTGTACTGAGTGCTGTGTATCGTCACTGTGTTCAGAGTTATTTTGCAATCATTTATTTCTCTCTTTGAGGAAAGAGAGGAGCACATTCAAGAAAAAGTTTTAAGAACTAAATTGAATTTTCCCTTATTTCATCCTTGTGTTCCTTTATTATTTTTTATGTAATTCCTATATAATCTACCATAGTAAACCCTGTTCCTCAACTCCAAAATTATGAATTTGCTTCTGAGAGCTAATAGTGTATATGGAGAATACATTCTTTGCTGAAACTGAGCACTCTAATCTTTTAATTCTGCTACTAGTTTTCTTGAGGAATTAGAGATCAAAAAGTGAAATATGTGGAATCACTTCATTTTAACAGTGTTGCATTTCACAAATAGGAAATAATTTAATTTGCTTGTAAATCTTGCTTAATTACTTTTAGATTTAAAGGGACACACTGGGAATGAAACCCAGTTAAAACCTTTCAAAAAGATTCAGCTAAGCTTCTGGGAGGAAGCTTACATTTCTCTTCCTCCCATTTGTCTGTGAGCTCTGTATACATGCCTGCAGTGAAGATAGCGTATTATGTAAATGAATGAGCAATCTTAGAAGATCCACAAGGGTAATTGGAACTGGTCCTGTAGCTTATTTAAAGAAAAGAAAAGAAATCCAAAACCACCACGCCACCTCCCTCGAGTATGTTCAGTTTCTGTGTTGCCTTCTCAGCTACACACATCCATGAATTCCCTGGAAGCATGCTGCAGAGGTGATAATGGGAGCAAAAGTGGATATTGTCTCCCTTAAGTTTCAGGATCTTTTTTTCAGGAGAGAATGAAGAGTGAAATTTCTTGATTCCTTTCTTAGTGAAGCCAAGAATGTTTAGACAGCTAGTGACACGTTGAAAGACAGAAGACGACAGAAGTAGAGTGACAAATGTGTTGGTGAAATAAAAAAGGACACAGATGGAAAAAGAACAAAAGCCATAAGGGAAGAGAATTCTTTTATAGTTTGCCTGAATTAAGGTAAACAGACAAACTTTAATAATCTTGAAATCTTAAGAATTCCCCTGACAGTCATAAAAAAAAAATCATCTTAGAATGCATACAGTGGAATTCAGTCTGCCATTGCTCTAGAAATGCTTTTGGCTTTAGCACTTGAAAATATTAATGATGTGAAAAAGTTTAGAATAATATTTTTGTCCTTAAATGCTTCCATGAAAATTATTTATCAGAGGAAAAAGGTCTTTATTGGAAAGGACTTAGGCTTTCAGTTGAGTCAGAATATCAATTTCCAATTTTGGCAGAAGCACATACACTTCACAGTGTTTTCCAAAGCTTGCCCTTGATTACACCACAGTAAATAAGTAATCATTCAATCTTTCTATTTTTTTCCTCTCAGAAGCAGAACAGAGTTATTCAGTACGGTCATGTATAGTAGAAGCACACTGCACACAGTGTAGCTTTTATTTCTAGTTCTCTCAAAGGTATTAGTTCTTTTCCAGTTACAAATTGTTTGCAAA